ATAATTTATCAATAATGCATAAATTGATTTGAGCATAATTTTCCATAATATTAACTGTACTTTAATTTTCTTATTTAACAAACTTCAACACTAAATAGTGTGTCAGTTTTTTTTTGTATTCTTTATCAGAACAATTTTTCATTCGTTTATATAAGTTAAGACGCGAAAGAAAATGTATATCAAAGATAATCAAAGAAAAATATTCACTGACATTTGACTATTTGCTATGATCAAAAGTGTAATTAATTCTGTTTCGTTTCTGCTTTTTGATATTAATGTAACATTTCTTAAATTCTTATAATAATGTTGCATATGCGTATTATAAAAATGACTTGTGAAGTTTTATAAAAAGAACCATGCAAGTCATATATTTATGACAATGTTTAATAATCAGTCTAAAACTTGAACAATGTAGCAACGTTGTGATAATCAAATACTGAAAATGAAGATTGCACTATATATAAATAGTTTAATATATATGTATAATCTATATTTTAATATATATATATATATATAAGTACCATAATATTGGATATTAGATGTTACATAAAGGATAGAATTTAATGAGCTGAATATCTATTTTTTTCAAAACAAAAAACAAAAGAGGGGAAAAGAAAATTCTTTAAATGTATCTTGACTTATGAATAATACATTTGCAAAATTCAGTGTGCACAATATAAAAAATTAAAATTATGATAATGACTCGCTTTCAATATTATGCAACATCTTACTTAGTGCTGTGTAAATTTAAATAATTTTATTTAATTCGGTGCATGTCGATAATTAAGCTTTCTCTCAATCTCCAATTCTCGAATTTTTATAGATGTAAAAATTGTCATGTCAGGATTCAAACGAATCAAAGTTGATTTTGTAACCGTTTTTGTTTATATAGCATCACAGAATAAAGGGATAATTTACAACATTACGTAAAATAATAATGATCGCAGCAATCAATCAAGGTTTGGCTTACATTCATTATTGATGACTACTGGATACAGTTTCCTCAAGCATAGTAAGATAATAAAAATCATACATGAATTTGTATGAACATTACATTATACTTAGATGCACTTAGTGTATTAAACACTAAAAATTTATTAATTTAAAATCGCCAGTATTGAACTCAACTTCGCATTATATATACCTAATATAAAACAAGAACACAACAAATTTTCTGGCATACATGATACATTTTAACATGTAAGATTGTATGTCAATTGATTTTTTTCAGTTTTGAGTTTTTTCATTTTCTTCTCATTCAGTTAATCATCTCCCTACCCTTTTTCCCCATAGCTTCTACAGAATTTTTCATCATTGTCTTATCTCCTGAGATAAGTAAAACAGCAAAGTCAATAGTATTGATGGTTGTTATATACTTATACTTTTTTTGTTTAACTGGGAGTGCATATCTTGTTTGCAAAACAAATTTTCATTATACACAATATTGTAATTTCTCTTACAGACAGTGATGTGACTTAAGGTATTTCCATGTAGCATGTGTGAAGGGAGGAAGAAAGGATGGTGATTACAGAATAGATTCCAATTTATCCACTCTTGAAAAGGAGAATCGCTACTTGACCCAGATAAAAATAGATAAAATGTCTTGTTTCATGTGTCACATAGCTTCCAAAATTACGACCTACAATGCAATGCCACGTTGGATTATATTTTTTATCGAATTCTTTTTTAATAAAGGCTGCAATATCCTGAAACAAAAAATTAAATCAATTTATTAACAATTTTTTTTTATCTTTGAAACTGTTATTAACTTGTTCTTTCATTCTACTCATTATTATATTTAAATAAGCTCCTTTATATCTTTTTTCAAATATGCATATAATTTTTCATTACATACATTTCATACAATATCTGGAATAAAATTTTACTTCAACTATTTACTAAATATACCTTTTCTATGTTATATTTTTCAAGGGCTTGAGTTGCACAGTCAACAGCATCCTGCTGCATCTCCTCAGACATATCAGCATTCTTGATCACAGCCTTTCTGTCTGACATTTTTGTAGCTCTGAAATTAACAAGAAAAAAGAAATTTTTCGTATGTCTTACTCTATTTCGTTCAATAAAAATATAAAAAACTAATATTGCTAAGAGACAACTATGCATTTTTTTTATCATATCAAAGGATGAAGATATTACAAATTAAACCTGGAAAAATGAATGCGTGCAATTTTGACAGTAGCATATATATCATTTGCTAGCATGACAAATCATAGAATTGATGCTATAAAATCAAGAAAAGAATCAGATATGTTTAATAAGCAAAATACAATTGTAGAAAACAGAACTATAAAGACGAAACGCGGGAGGATAATGTTTTATCAATATACGATGATGGGAATAATAATTCGTAAACACACAAACACCGCAATCAGAGTATTAAGTTAAAGATGCTCATTTGAGAATTATCAACACGCCAAAGAGAATAGAATTATCAGAAATCCAAAACTGATTTTGACATAAGAGTTGGTTACGCGGTCGGAAATGAAAAAATACATTTTCATTTATATAACACGCGATATACCTTTTAAAATAACACTTTCACCAACTAATACACAAGGAAAAAGATCGTTATATCCTGGCCCGGAAGTTATGTATACTTATTTTTTTCTATGTGAATTGATTTACACAAAAATTTTGCTCGCTCAAGCCGACAGCGACTATTCCTTGATTGAGTTCAAGACTGAAGTGTCCGTACTGTGATCCTGTCCACTGATTGGCCCACGATTAGGGTCTTCTATCACGGTCTTCTATCAACCCAGAATGCTTTGCTGGTAGCAACCCGCGTAAACATAAATTCGAGTAATCGATACGGAATTTTTCCTTGAAATTCAAGTTACAACGATGTTTTTTTATTTTTTATTGCTTAAACTTTCATTTCTTTTATATAGAATCTCAAAAAATTAATGATATACATTAAAATATTTATTGCGAAGTTTAGATTGATTATATATATTACATTAAAGTATTTTAAGTTTTCAAAATATGTTTTGAAATATTAATGAAAACATACACAATTCGCAAAAATGTATGGTCTTGTAAAATTAAATTATAAATTGTAAATTCATACCAATAATGTATTTGTAAATCAAAAATATATGTCTTTCAATATACATTCTATTGATTATATGTAAATTGAAAATGTGAAGAATTTTTATAAATTTTAAATAATATTCTATTATAATATATATTTTATATAATTTTATTTTTACAGAACATACAGAAGTTATTTAATTTAATAACATAGGATAAAATATTTTAATTTTAAATCATTTCTTTTGAAATTGAATAATTAATTATATTACAAGATGGCGCTATAACAGAATAAATTGAATCATTATTTTACAAGATGGCGCTATCAAAGTCTTAGACTATGTATATTAATAAAATTAAAATATATATGGTCCAAACATAAAGTTGATACATTCATTACTATATCACTTTGCATGTATATGAATATTTTATTTCTTCGTAATTAGTATAGCATATATATTGTATATGTATATGTTTAATCAGCTGATTGTGACAACAGTAACGTAGCTATAATGTAATAATTTTTTTAAATTTCAAATTTTTTCCATTACTATATTTGAAGAAATATTTATAAACATTTTTAAGTAATATTTAATGTAAATATATATTAATTTTTCAATGATATATATATTTCTTTTTTAATATATTTAAAATGATTTTAAGTATCAAATTCGTATATAATATACAGATATGTTGATCCAAGTTACACATGCGCAATAAGTTCCAACAATCTCAGAGAATTCTTTATTAGAGAGGTTTTCATTCTAAATGTATCAGTGTTATATTCGACAGAGTTGCGCAAAATATCTCTGAAAGAAAGAAATTTTTTTTCTAGTGCTATATTTAATAAATAACTTAATCTTTTAATTTTAAAGGCACTGGAAACTTATTTAAAAATGTTTCGTGCCATTCTGTGCTTTTGCGCTTTTATAGCGATAGCCAATGCTGATGTTACGAGGTAAATATAATGAAAAAAATATTATTATTCGTTTTTGTACAAAAACAATTACTGTTTTTAAAAAAAATTTTTTAAAAATTTACTAATTATATATAATTAATTATTCGATAAGATTTACAAAATGCACTTTAAAATAAATTTAAAAAATTTTTTTTAAGGATTCCCTTGCACAAAATCGATAGCATTAGGAAACAATTCAAAGAATATGACACAGAAATATATCAAACACATATATTGCAAGGAGATTTTCCTCAACCAGAACCTCTTTCTAACTACTTAGATGCTCAATACTATGGTGTTATTAGCATTGGAACTCCTCCACAAGATTTCAGAGTAATCTTTGATACTGGTTCCTCAAATCTCTGGGTCCCCTCTAAAAAATGTCATCTTACTAATATTGCTTGCAGTAAGTATATTTTCAAAAATAATTAAAACTTTATCATTTTTTTATATTTTATATTTTATTTTGTTCATAATGTTATTTATTTTTTATAATTCAATATGATATGAGTTTTAATTTAAAGCTATAATATAAGTATATTAAATATAAAATAAAATTATTAAATATAAAATAAATATATTAAATATAAAATAAATATATTAAATATAATATAAATATAAAATATTAAATATAATTATTTAAATATATTATAATTATAAATTAAAAATCAAATTTTTAATTTATAAATCTGATAGAAAAATAAAACAATAAAAAATAGAAGCTTTTTGATAATTATGTTTATTTATAACATAAGTTTTAAATATTAATAAGATAAACATAATTACATTATGATTTAATTTATTAATTTATATTTAAATAAATTTATTTTCTAGATAATGATAATTATATGTTTTTTTCCATTACTGAAAAAATAATATATCATTATATTATATGTTATCAAATGTTTATAAATTAATAACAAAAAAGTACTTTATTTAATTAAAATTTCATAATTTCTTTTTGTATATGTATTATTTTCAGAATTACATCGTAAATATGATAACAGCAAATCATCTACGTACAAGAAAAATGGTACTGACTTTGCAATTCGTTATGGCTCTGGAAGTCTCTCTGGCTATCTCTCCACTGATACTGTAGATGTAAGTATCTATACATCCATATTCTTACTTTTTATAATTATTGATATTTTTATTTCCTATTAATTATATAATTATATTATTGTTCATAATTTTTATTTCTATAATCTATAATCTTTTTGTTTCTATATCTTTAAATAATAATAGAAATATTTTTTAAAAATTATTTTTAAAAAATTTTTAAGAAATAATTCACTTATATACAATAATATATAATAACATTATAATATATTTTTAAGAAATTACACATTTCTATCTTTTAATTGAATATAATTTAATAATTTAGTAAAAAAAGAAAATTAATTAAAGAATAATAAATTTTACAGATTGCAGGAATAAAAATTTCTGATCAGACTTTTGCTGAAGCTTTGAGTGAACCTGGATTGGCTTTTGTTGCTGCTAAATTTGATGGTATCTTAGGAATGGCTTATTCTAAAATTGCTGTTGATGGTGTAACACCTGTCTTTTACAACATGGTTAAACAAGGATTAGTACCTCAACCTGTTTTTAGTTTTTATTTAAACAGGTATTTTAAAAATTATTCAAAATTTTTATAAAACGAAATAAATTAATAATTTATAAATTGTATTATTTTATTAATTGAAGAAATCCTGATGATAAATATGGTGGAGAATTGATATTGGGTGGTTCAGATCCAAACCATTATGAAGGTTCTTTCACCTATGTTCCTGTGGATAAAAAGGGATATTGGCAATTTAAAATGGATAGGTATTTATTAAATATATAAAAATAAATTTTTTAAAAAAATTATTTATAATTTTTTCATAAATTAAAAAAAAATTAATATTTTTGAATTTTAGTATTCAAATTGGATCAGATTTAAAAGTTTGTCAACAAGGATGTGAAGCTATTGCAGATACAGGTACTTCCCTCATTGCTGGACCAGTTAAAGAAATTGAAGCTATCAATAAAGCAATTGGAGCTACTCCCATTGCAGCTGGAGAAGCAATGATAGACTGTAATTCCATTCCTAATTTGCCTACAATTAATTTCGTACTTGGTGGTAAATCTTTCTCTCTGAAAGGAGAAGACTATGTCTTGAAGGTAAAATAAATATACTTTAATTTTATTTTTAATTCATTAAGATTGTGAAAAATTTTAATTTTAATATAATAAAATAATATTGTTCTTTTTTTTTTTTTTTTATTAAAGGTTACACAATTTGGAAAGACTGTTTGTCTTAGTGGATTTATGGGAATGGATATTCCTCCACCAAATGGTCCACTATGGATTTTGGGAGATGTTTTCATTGGTTATTATTATACTGAATTTGATATGGGAAATAATCGTGTTGGTTTTGCTAAAGCAAAATAAATATCTAAAAATATATACTAATTAAAATCTTAAATTTTAAATTATATAATTTTTGTTAATATATCTTTTTGCATAATTTTATGTTTTTACATTTGATTATTTTTAATATTTTTCCGCTTTTTGTATATATAATATGTATAATAGTTTTATTAATGAAAATAAATGTAATAGATACTATAATCAATATATAAATATAAAGTATGTAAATTAGTCATCTATAACAAAATGTATACTATATTACAAAGATAAAAGTAATAAATTTTTTTCATGTCATATCCTGTGTTATTATTTCATAAATAATTGATCAATAATTCATTTTTTAATGATATGAAACATCATGATTAAAATTTAAATACGAAACTACAAGTCATCATAAATTATAATAATTTACATAGAATATCACATAATATTATAAAATAAAATAATTTCTCAAATGTATTAATATCACGTGAAGTATAAAACAAATCTATAAATAATAGAATATGTTATTTATTTTTGTTCCTTTTTTTTTACTGCATGAATTGCATAATTTATTGCTGTTGAAGCCATCCAAGACCATTCATTTTTTAAAACATTATAAAACATTCCATGTATCAATTTTGTCTTGCAACCATCTAGAAAAGGATCATCAATTTATTTAAAATATTCTAATTCATTTAAGAAATTCTAATATAAAATTATAATTTATAACTAAATAAAAGTTCTATATAATTATTTATAAAAAAAATAAAATATAATATAATAGAAAATACATGTTTCTAATAAAGATTGCATTTCTGTAGGAGTGACAAATTTATTCCAATCATGAGTACCCTTTGGTACTACTTTTAAAATACGTTCAGCTGCAATTATTCCTCCAAGCCATGAAGGTAAAGTTTTATTAATAGTTGTAAGAAATATTGAACCACCAGGTTTTAAAGAACTTATGCAACACTATAAAAAGCAAATATATGGCTTTTTCATTATTAATTTTTTTCTTTTTTAATATAAAATTTATATCAAAATTTATATAAAATATGACTATACCTTTAGAAATAATTCTTTATTATTTACATGTTCTATAACTTCTGAAGCCACTACAGCATTATATGCTTCTTTATTATTTAGAGCAAAATCTTCAATTATTGTTTGGAAATAATTTAATTTTCCATCTAAACTAGCATCTAAAACAGCATGCTGTTTTGCAGCTGTTATTAATTCTGATGAAGCATCAATCCCAGTTACATCTGCTCCTATTCTGGCTAAAGATTCTGATAATAATCCTCCACCACAACCAACATCTAGAATTTTGATTCCTTCTAATGGTAAATAAGGACATTCTATTTTGACTCCTATATTTGCTAAGCCATCTCGAATAAGTTGTATTCTAAGAGGATTCAATGCATGCAACGGACGTATTTCACCATTGACATCCCACCACTTATTGTGTAATTTAGAAAAATGATCTATATCTGTAAGATCAACTGTTGATTTCTTTATTAAACTAGATTTTGTTAATTGATCAGTTTGTTCGGTCAATCTAAAATTGCAAATTAGAAATTTTTTTGATAACTATATATTTTAAGAAACATTATTTATATTAATTATATTATATCATATATATTTAAGTGTCAAATATTTAAAATTGATATATAGGTTAGATACCGATTTCGAAGGGTAGGTCCTGTGGATATGGATCGAAAGGATCGAATTTTAATGATATTCATAATTTATTTATATAAAATGATTAAATATAATTAAAAATTTAGAAAATATGCAGAATTTTTCAAGATATGTAGAAACAAATGAGACAACAGTCAACATTCGACAAAAGCACGAATGATTATGTTTGCAATTGCGACAATAGCATTAACTATATTTATATTTATAGTTATTTGTATAAAAAATAAGAATTTTAAGTAAAATATCTGAAAAAATTTCACAAATATTTTATTTTAAATAAATATATTATAAAAATGAAAGAAATATAATATAAAAATTAAAAGTAATTTTGATATTGAAAATATTTCCATTAAATTTATATCTAAAGAACAAAAAAAAATTTACAGAAATTTACACATATCTAAAATTAATTTAATAATTTTAATAAAATTTTTATTTCATCCAATAAATATTTGTAAATCAAATAATTAATTTTATAATAATTATAGTTAATATATATTCCTTTT